GTCAGACCTTTGTATTAATATTGGTTTATTTATATAATGCTGCTTATTATTATTATTTGTTATTGTTGGAGTTAGTGAGCCCGCCCAGGTCCTTGTGTAACTGGGAGGGTAGTCACATTTTTTTTTTTTTGAGGTGTTAGTTAAGTGTTAGTTGTGTTAGTCTAAAGGTACACTGTATGGAGAGGCCTGCCAGGTTCTTAGTGGAGCTGGTTGGTCACTCTCATCTTTATTCCTCTAGTAATGTTTTATGTGTAAATGTGTATATTGAGGCAGGAGGTGGTTCAATTACTTCTTCCTGGCTGATATAGCTGGGAGGGTAATCACATTATTATTATTATTATTATTTTTTTTTTGCTAAGATGTTAGTTCAATGTTAAATGTTAAATGTTAAATATTAGTTATGTTAGTCTAAAGGTACACTGTATGGAGAGGCCTGCCAGGTTCTTGTGGAACTGGGTAGAGTCCTCTTAAACAATATATCAACAAATAATATTTCGCTAAAATTCCTACAATATTAATAACACCCGACATATTAACATAATACCTCAACAATCAACATAGAAATATACCCCAAAACCAACAAAACATAAGCAAATAACAAGAGAATATAATATAGACAAATCAGTTATAAAAATGAAGGGTTCTCTTACCGATGCACTCTGGCTGAGGGAAGGAAGTCCTGTGACCGCTCCACTCACCCTCCCAGTGCTCATCACTTCTGTTCCGGGTTGAGTAACCCAACTCTTTGACTTGGCACAAGCAAACAATCCCAAACCACACCATCACCAATTTCCCCCACAATTTACTGCTTTACAAGGGGCGGCACTCCGACCCACTGGCCCCTGATTGGCTGCACATTCCCGCCAAGCTCTGGGATTGACCGACTGACTGGCTAGTATGGGTTTTATTCAATAGATGGAGTTGTATACCTGTGTCTTGGCGAATATTTGACATTATTATTAATATTATTAAGATTACCGTCACAATTCCCTCACAAGGTTGTCTGATGGGTTCCTATAGGGGTTTTCAACATAATTGCAAAGCTTGGGTACTTGATCTTGACGTTGTGCAGTGCAGTTTTGCGGATGATTATGTTGAATACAGTGGAAGCGTCAACCAGGAGTACTTCCTCACACTCACGCTACTCAAATATATTTCTCATGGCGTGAATGGCAGCTTCCCCCCAGCCTGGTGGACAACACATACTTGCAGTTTCCACCTCCATTATGCATTTTCCAATGATCTGTAGGCCTAAAGGGGTGGCCCCCTTTAGGCCTACATCCTGGATTTTTATCCAGGGGAATGAGGCGGCAAGCCATCAGAGCATGAAGGTGATGGCAGCACGAGGTTGTTGGCTTTCTTGCAAGGGCGGCGGTGGCATTGCAGAGATTACTTGCTACGGCACCAAGATTGTTAATGCTGAGGATGACTCTCCAACCGTCTGCATCCAGGGCTGAAGGGCCTGCCCCTCCCTGTGTCTTCAGTATTTTTTTCCACACCATTCCCCCTGTTATTTTTACGAACATGACAGCGTTTGGAGGGATATAGGCACCCTGGAACCTGATGCCTTCCTCTTCATTTGAAGGGGGATGTTTTTCCTTCAGTTGTTGCATGTTGTGTTGAATCTTTCTGGCATCATCCTCGTTGTTTTGCTTTCCACCTTCTATGAAATTTAGTCTCTCCTACAGTTTTCTTGCCACATTATCAATCTTTTTTTCAATTGCTGCCACATTTTGTTCGAACTTAGTCATTGCATGTGTCCCTAACAGAATAGATGGGGTATTATTGCCAGTATTTGAAGAGCTAATGGGTCAAGGAAGCTGTCCTGATTGTATTCTATTATGAGGCGAGTTATCTCACGAATAATTTTTTGGGTGGCCGTACACTTGAGTGGTTAAAAGAGGTTAGCTGGCGACCACCTGACAATTTTTTGAGTAGGTTTCTTTAACCCTTATATCAGCCTTTTCCATCGACATGCCATTTCACTGTGGTGGCTGTCTGTCATTCACCTCGTGGACATCTGCTACTATTGGAGCAGCATTTATTGGCACTATTTTTCAGACTGAGTGGACTCACTGCTAACATTCAGGATATCATCGGGCAATGTTGTCCGGGCGATATCCACTGTAACCTCCTGTGATGGCTTCCTGCCCTGGGGATTCCGACAATTGTTCCCCTTTCTGCAACTCACACGGTTGTTTCTCGCACAATCACAGCTTGTGCAATTTTGGTACTGGCTAGCACAGATGCAGCAAAAACGGTTGCCGTGCATAATGCTCCACACTTCGAGAAACAATAATGTCTACCACTGACATCTGCTTTGGTCTTGTTGACTTGACGTCTGTAGATAAGGTTATTGATTGTAATTCTGGATGGGAGGGCAGAGATTAGGATTGGAAGTACTTTGGTTGCAATTGGGGAGAGGAAGGGGATTGGCTTAGGATTAAGGTAAAAGCGGGAAGAAAATTGAAGGAAAATAAGAGATGAACAGTATCCGGGCTCAACCAGATATGCTGAGGTTATAATAATTATATTTGAACTTACGTGATTAGGTTCCAGCTCTCAAACCTTTTCATTTGGTTAAAAATATGTATATATTTGCAGTTGCTATTGTTCCAAGGAAGGGGTGACGACCTCTAGCCTGGTTCTTGTGGAGCTGGCTGAGCAACGTATCTTTTGTTTTAATAAGAGTGGAAGGAAGGGGCAAGAAGGCAAGTGTTGGAGAGGCCAAGGATAGTGTCCTTTGGTCACTCTCATCTTTTTAATGAAACATTTTCTGTTTTAGAGAATTGAAGCTTTTTGTATATAGTAGGGAGGTTGGTCTCATAAGGAGGAAACTAGGTCTTATGAGAAACGGGCAGAGAGGTGACAGGTTGGACAGAAGTGTCCGGGTAGTAGGGACATACGTGCGCACATGGGTGTGTTGACCACCCCTGGGGGGTGAGGACAACAGTCTATACCAAAACTACTGCTACTACTTTTTATTTATTTTTATTTTTTTAAACGTGGCCTCCAGCCTCCTCCAATAGCCACACCTTCGCCACCATTTAATAACCTTAATATTAAATATCCTAATACATAAGTAGCTATCCTATATGTGTTAAATTAGTTGAGCCGCAGATCTATAAGGCGGCAGGCCGTCAGGGCCTGGAGGTGATGGCAGCAAGAGGATGCAAACTTTCTTGCAAGGCGGCAATGGCAGTGCAGAGATCGCTTGCTACAAGGCCAACTTGTTTGTGCTGAGGATGACTCTCCAACCGTTGCATCCAGACCTGAAGGGCCGGCTTCTCCTCGAGTCTTCAGTGCCTTTTTCCACACCATCTCTCCTGTTATTTTCTCGAACAGGGCAGCGTTTGGTGGGGTATAGACACCCTCGAACCTGATGCCTTCTTCGTCGCTTGCAGGGGATGTTTCTCTTTAAGTAGTTTTAATGTCTCTCTGTTTATTGGCATCACCCCACCGGAGGATTCCTCTGTGAGAGATCTTACCTCCAGAGACACTTTTCCCACAAGCATTTTGTTTCCAAATTTTCTTGTCACGTCATCGGTGTTTTGCTTTCCGTCACCCGTAATTTTTAGTCTCTCCTGCAGTGTTCTTGCTTCACATAGGAGATCATCAAGGGCCCCAGTCTGCCACATTGCCAATCTTCTCTTCATTGCTGCCACATTTTCTTTGTGCTTATTCTTTGTGTGTGTCCTCTGACAAAATAGATGTGGTATTATTGCCAGTATTTGAAGAGCTAAAGGAGCGAGGAAGCGGTCCTGAGTGTAATCAGTCATGAGGCGAGTCATCTCCCGAATCATTTCTTTGGTGGCCGCACACTTGGGTGGTTCAAATAAGTTAGCGGGCGACCACTTGACAATTTCTGAATAGGTTTCTTTGACCCATATGTCTGCATTTTCCATCTACATGCCATTCCACTGAGGTGGCTGTCTCTCATTCTCCTCGTGTGTTGACCACCCCTGGGGGATGAGGACAACAGTCTATACAAAAACTACTACTACTACTACTACTACTACCTCTATCAACTTGGTGTCTAACCTCCCCAATAGCTACACCTTCGCCGCCATTTTATTACCTTAAAATTAAATATCCCAACACAAAAGTAGCTTCCTTAACTGTGGTGAGTTAGTTGAGCCGCAGATATTTGCGGCATTCGGTGACTGTTGCCGCATAGTCAAAATCTACTACTACTACTACTACTCTTAATAATAATAATAATAATAGTAATAACAATTATTCAGTAACATTTTCATACTCGCTTACAATTGTATAGGTATATATATAAGAAAGCAGTTATACAGTTCAACGTGAATATGAACAGTGTACTTTTGACAGGCTGGACTGCTGTGTCCAGGTAGTAGGGGCATACGTGCGCGCGTGGGTGTGTAGGCTACCCCCCCTAATAGCGACCATCCATACATCAGAATGATACACTATGGACAAGAGTTTGTCACACCAAGCACTTGTTTATATATCCTTGGCACAAATAACCACTATTTATATGGTCTCACTGGTGTAATATCAGTTATATATACTCACTTGATTCGTCGCGACCCTACATGAAGTGTCCGTTACTATGGTGGGGAGGCGACCGCATGGGAGCACTCTCGGCCCCATAGGGGCGAGAGTCTCGAGACAACCCCTGTCAAAGTAGGCCTATCGACACTGACCTGCTCCGAGCCTCGCATTATTCCACCGACCCAGCGCTGCCAGGTCACCACTCGCTTGGTGATCGCCGGTGAACACACGGAATATTTACAATTTATGCCGTAAGGGATGAGAAGAAACCTTGGGTGGCAATGCTTAGGGTGACATCCGATATTCACCGACACATTGTTAAATTATTATTTTGTACAATTTAGCCGCAAGAATGAGGAGGAATATTCCAGCGGTTAATATTCATAATCCTAGGATCAGTATTGTTGTGTTCAGTGTTGGCATCTTTGGGTCCATCCATTACTGTAGGTAGTGAGCCTCTTGTTCACACGTTAAGTATGATGGTCGTCGTTTTGTGGCTCAGCAGTGGTTTCATTGTTGTCATCTTCAGACTGGTTGTGTTGGGTGACCTTGTGTATCATCTTGTTCTTGGTGTAATATTGTGAGTGTGTGTCTCCCCACTCATTATTAACCTGATTATATACAGTAGCTGTATAGAGTAGAGTACTGTAGCTATATAGAGTACTGTAGGTATATAGAGTAACTGTAGCTATATGGAGTATATTACTGTAGCTATATAGAGTAGAGTACTGTAGCTATATAGAGTAGAGTACTGTAGCTATATGGAGTAGAGTACTGTAGCTATATGGAGTAGAGTACTGTAGCTATATAGAGTAGAGTTCTGTAGCTATATAGATTAGAGTACTGTAGCTACATGGAGTAGAGTACTGTAGCTATATAGAGTAGAGTACTGTAGCTATATAGAGTAGAGTACTGTAGCTATATAGAGTTGAGTACTGTAGCTATATAGAGTAGAGTACTGTAGCTATATAGAGTAGAGTACTGTAGCTGTATAGAGTAGAGTACTGTAGTATGTTAAGTGACTGTGTGTTATGTTGCAGATGCTGGTCAGAGCAAATAATCTTCAGGAGACCATCCAGGTGATTGCTGGCAAGATAGAGGAGATAGACTTACCGGATATGGTGGACATGATAATATCTGAGCCCATGGGTTACATGTTGTACAACGAGAGAATGTTGGAGACGTACCTGCATGCCAAGAAGTGGCTTAAACCCAGTGGCCGCATGTTCCCTTCCCGGGGCGACCTGCACGTGGCCCCCTTCAATGATGAGTCACTTTATTATGAGCAGCTTAATAAGGCAAATTTCTGGTAAGAATTTATGTTTACAGTATATGTGTGCTTGTGTCTCTCTCCATGTGTCTGTGAGCCACCTCTCTCTACTTCTTCCATGGCAGGCTTGGTGCGAGAGTCTCATGACAGATTCTTGACAGAGATTGTTACACGTAAGACTTGTCCGAGTGAAGTTACCTTTATCCCCATATTAGTGGTGAGATGTGAGGCATAAAGTACGGTAGTTTTTTTCTCCTTGTTTTGCTTACTACACTACACTTTACTACACTACACTACTACTTTGCTGTCACTCAGAATCGAGTATAGGGGGCCCCCAAATTCGCGGGGGTTATGTTCTCAAAAAGGCCACGAATAGCAAAATCCGTGAATAACATTTGCTGACGGGGGGATATACATTTTTACTTCAAGGAAATGTATATTCCCTTTATGTGTTTGCCATTAGAACAATTATTTCTTTTACCTGCAGGTGAGTGAGTGAGTGTGTGTGTGTGTGTAATAATAATAATAATAATAATAATAATAATAATAATAATAATAATACAGTAGTACCCCGATTTACGCGGTCAATTGAACCCACAGGGTACCGCGGAAAGTGAAAACCGCATAAAGTGAACAACAGAACATATGGGATTAATTCCAATAGAGACTGGCCCGACCCCCAAACTCCACTTTTTCCGACACAATACCTATGTTGTAGTAAAAATAACATCTAAATTTTATGATGGTATGCTCACACAATTAATATTTAAGAGAAATACAGTCGCCAGGTTAATGTCCATTCAAATAATGGACTCAAATTCCCCCCCCCCCTCTTCCCAGCTCACTAGCTCCTACCTCTCTGAGAAATGTTTGGGTGAAAACACTAGATTTTAACGTTTAGTAATAAATAATACCTCAGACTAAAGTTAGGATAATATAATTGACATTTCTGGATTCCTTGCAGGTCAGGGAATATTTTGAATGTAAACTTCATATATTTTGCACAAAAGATAAAATATTTGCTTTGTGTAAACCAAATTATTACATTAGATCTAAAATTTGTATGTCTAATGCAAAATCCATGATGTTTATATTCAAAATGATCATCATATTGTAAGAATTCCAGCAATGTAAATTATATTCTGGTTCAGTAATTTGTATGAATTTTATGAGCTAAAACAAATATCTTCAGTTAATAAAAAAAAAAATATTTTTCACGAAACTATCTCTCAATCAAAGTACCCCACCTTGCCTCCCCCCCTCTTCCAACCGCGCCAGATGGTCGGTCGGTCCCAACCCTCCCCCCCACCCCCCACCTTCCCTCCCTACCAGAGAAGCTTTGGGAGAAAATAGTAATTTACATTTTTAGTAATAAATAATAACTCAGACTAAAGTTAGGATAATATAATTGACATTTCTGGATTCCTTGCAGGTCAGGGAATATTTTGAATGTAAACTTCATATATTTTGCACAAACGATAAAATATTTGCTTTGTGTAAACCAAATTATTACATTAGATCTAAAATTTGTATGTCTAATGCAAAATCCATGATGTTTACATTCAAAATGATCATCATATTGTAAGAATTCCAGCAATGGAAATTATATTCTGGCCGGGTAATTTGTATGAATTTTATGAGCTAAATAAAAAAATAAAAAATTATACTTCAGCATATGTGAGTAGATGCACCGCGCGGTTCTGGCTAGGTACCGTGTAAATGACAAATCGTGGAAAGTGAAACCGTGTAAAGCTGAAAATATACAAACTTACATTTGAATTAGACATAATGATATGCGTTGAATACATTTACAGGGCTGTACAGTACATAAATCAGGAGTTGTTTATTATTTTAACAATAGATGGGATGGTGCTAGTCTTATATCTATCAGTGCGAGCTCTTATGGGCTGAATTTTGTTGTAGTGGAGGACTGCTCGAGTTGGGTGGGGGGCTGCCGGTGGCAGGAGGTGGCGATGACGAGGGTGGTGCAGTAGTCCACTGCCAAGCCTTGCTAGTGCTTCGTGGTGGAGGTCACTGAGGGATGACATTTCCAGGGTGGAGAGAGCGTTGATGTAGCCAGAGTATTCTGCGCCGAGCATGATTCTGCAGGCCCGTTTCTGTACCTTCTCTAGCCGACGTTGTTGGGTAGAGTTGAAAGAAGATGACCAGGCTGGTGATGCATACGTTAGTTTGGGGAGAATAAAGTGTGTGTGTGTGAACGGTTTTATGAAAAAGTTCTGCAGCCCGAAGGCTGAAAATATACATTGGACAAAAATGACTTATTACATACAAAGACATGGGGTGGGTGGGTCGTTTAACAAAAGCTTTCATTACTGAAAGGAGAAGGAACATGAATTGAACACACAAATTATTATAGTTTACAGTTGATGGCCCCGGCCTGGACTGGTCATGGGAACACCGGGTGGTGTGGTGTTCACGTGGTGCAGTAACTCGTCCTCGGGTGTTGATATGAAGGATCTCACGTGGTCATGGGAACACCGGGTGGTGTGGTGTTCACGTGGTGCAGTAACTCGTCCTCGGGTGTTGATATGAAGGATCTCACGTGGTCATGGGAACACCGGGTGGTGTGGTGTTCACGTGGTGCAGTAACTCGTCCTCGGGTGTTGATATGAAGGACCTCACGTGGTCATGGGAACACCGGGTGGTGTGGTGTTCATGTGGTGCAGTAACTCGTCCTCGGGTGTTGATATGAAGGACCTCACATGGTCATGGGGACACCGGGTGGTGTCACAGTACCTCACTCTGCTGGGTGGTGTTGTGTTATCTCGTAGTCAGGTGTGAAGCCAACCTGCTGTTGTTCCCATGGTGGACTGATTAGCATCTCCTGGTCAGAAGATGGCGGTCAGTTCTAGAGGGGTAGGTACCGAATTTTTCGTCTTAGAAGATACTGCATCGTGGAAGACGCACCCTGATTTTGGAAATGAAATTCTAATTTTTTTTTTTCAGGTATTAACCCACCTGGCACAAGTCACTGACCCACATTGGGGCCTAGGGGGCAACAATTTAATAATAATAATAATAATAAATACAAAAATGAAAAAAAAATCAAGATTGAGAAACAATATATTTATGTTGTGTTGTCAAAGTAAGAGAAACAATTGAAACCCTGCAAGTGTGTGTAAATGTGGCAGAAAGTCAGATCAGCAACCTGGGACTTGGTCACAATTTTCGTGATGCCATATGGCAGCAGGGTCTACCAATATCTTCCCAGGCAGTAGTACCCGGTACCTCCCTACTACCGACACCAGTGAAAACACCATTGAAACTGTTACTTGATAATTATACAGCCCTTTTGGCACAAGTACACACACCTCTTTGAATATCATCACTTAGAACTGTTTATCAGTTGTCATTTTCATCAATTATAAAAAAAATCTGTATAAGGTGAAATCTTTAATACAGCACTCATTTTATACACCTGGTCACCTCCACACCTTAGGGGCTGTAGTGTTTACAATTTTTCTCTTGTTTTTGTCGGTATGACAACGACGGGAAATATTTTCCAACAGTAGAAGGTAAGCAAATGTAAACATGTATATCAACGTCTATATAAACCAAAAACCTTTATTTAAAAACAAAATAAAAGTAAAAAAACAACTTGTTTTTTGCAAAACCAGTGACTGATTGGTTCTACATAATTATAAAACTGAAGAAAATAAGACCCTGGTTGTAGCTGTAAAATTAGTATGGTTGTTTTAATTAATGTTATTTAATGTTAATAAGTGGAACAATGGAAGTAGCTAACAATTAAGGGTAAAAAAAAGTGAGATCACGTATGTAAGTGAGCACATGTGTAAACATATCATCATTACTCTACATAAGAATATGAAAGCAACACTTATTTACTGTTCATATATATTTTAATTAATGTTTCTGAATTAAAAAAAAAATATCTACCCACCAGTGGTAATAAAGTTGAAAACATAAGGACAGCCAATGTTGTTGTGTGTGTGTTTTTACTTGGATGACGAAGGTGTATTTAAATTTGGAAGATTTTAATTTTGTGGGGTTTTTACAGTCTAAATGGGTATCCAAATATGAGAGCCTACTGTAAATAGGTGTCCAAATATGAGAGCCTACATATAAAGAAACAAACATTCCTGCATTTGAGACCAGCAGACAACCTTTAGCAATTCCTCAATAGATGGCCGTGCCGCACCACTGCCATTAGTGAACAAACCACACAGCAGCAAGGGTTTATTATTTGTTTTTTTTGCAATATATCGACAATATTAGCTAAATCAATAGTTTTATAGTACTGTATAGAGAATACTTGTAATTGTTAAATACTGTAATGAGGTAACAGTCTTTGTAAGGGGCTGATTTCAAAAACCTCTGCTACAACTCATCAACTAGCATCCTGGAAGACGCATGGTAATTTTCGTGGTATATTTTTGTCATAAAAAGTGCGTCTTTTAAGCCGAAAAATACGGTAATAATAAAATAATAATAATTAACGGTTTATTGAAAAAGCTTGGCAGCCGGAAGGCTGAAAATATACAGTTACATAATTGGGGAATGGGTCTCTAATTTGCAAATAATATACAAGTAACATAAGTGACACAAATATGATATACAGTCAACCCTCACATTACGCGGTCCCGCATTCCGCGGTTCACCGTTAACGCGGTGCCTTGCCAGAACCTCACGTGCTCACATTACGCGGTCGGAAACGACACGCCGGAGTGTCCGCGCGACGCTTTTAGATTTGCCCCACGCCACCACCCACCCTTGCCTGCCTCCGCTGGCAAGCGGCGCTGTAAGGTTGCGAGTGTGCGCTCTTTGTTGCGTTATCACTGACGCCATATGACTTATCAGACCTGTGATTGGCCATGCATCCTACCCCCTGCTGCTAGCTGTAATTATAGACGGTCCACCATGCAGGGAGGGGAGGGAGAGAGATTACGCTAACCTAGCTGCAGAGTCATCCTCCAGGCCACTCAAACGCGCATCCATTGTTCCAGAAAATGGCTTCACGGACCACCACCCCAAGAGAAACCTTCCTTCCTGGACCCAGC